TATATATACATACATACATATATATATATATATATATATATATATATATATAGATATAAGAGAGAAATATTTATCATACATTTGGAGAAAGGAAGGGAAGCGGGAAGCCATGGAGAACATAGCAGATGAAGCAAGAGGACAATTGAGTAAACTCTACAGTTCAAAGAAACGACTCTACATTCTCTCCATCTTCATTTTCATCTTCTTTCTATCTTGTTCTCTATCGTTTCACTCTCACGTTGCCAAATCGATCGATAGCAACGACCGCCACTACATATTTCTGCTCTGCAACGGAATCCTACTTTTCCTCTTCCTCGACTCTGGTTCGACCTGCATCAGTCAAACTCAGTCACGACTCGATAATGCAATGACCACAGTCTATATCAACGATCAACCACCCGAACCAGTGGTTATACAAGAAGTTGAACGTAACGTCATCTCGGTAACTAGTGTTGTAGAAGAAGAAACGGAAGCCGAACAGATTGAACATCAAATTCGAGATCAAGAAACGCAGTTAGTGGTTGCCGTTGATCATGTTGGCAATGAAGACGAAATGGTAGCAACAGTTGAAGTTGAAGATGATGAATTCAACCAGAAATGTCAAGCATTCATAGACAGAGTGAAACGAACCATGCATTATGAAGCTCCTTACAACCCCCATCTTTGATTCCCTGTTTATCCATGTATAAAGCGGTTTCGGAGAAATTTTTGTATCGACTGGAAGTCGAAAAACTCGTATGTACGTCACCTATTTATATGCGTTGTTCATTTGCTTTTCTAACAAACCGATTACATGTACTTGACCACCTGAGCTTGACCCGAGGCAAAAGGCTTACTAAGGGCCGTTAACCAAAAGCTTACTCGGGTTAGCGTTTACGAAGTCATATTCTCTTATAGGATGAATATGACAAGGACCAAGAATCTTTCCTGGTAAGAATGAAGGCAAGAATCGAGAGTTTTACCCAGTAAGTGATGACGACGACCCTTACTACGGTTAGCGTTTACCGGGTAAATTGTTATATACTATGTCGTTTTGGTAGACTAAAAAATCTTACCCGATAAGCAAGCGATAGAGTTGAATTTTATTGTTAAACACTTACCGGACAAGTGTTTAAGTAAATGGCTCCGAAGTTGGTGATGTGATCGGATAGGTATTAATTGTATTATACGCTGAATAGCCTTTGTAGGTGGCTAACCATGGTTTAAAATAACTTGTCGTGACATCAAGCCTTGGATTTGTTGTCATGTTAACCCTTGTGGTTCAACTCTAAGGCTTGACTTTCGTTGGAACACGTTATGGCATATTATGATGCGTTACTTTTGTAAGTCGTGTTTTTCTTTTTACTTTTTTTTTAAACATATGACTAAGGGGATAAATGATAATTATGTATGACGCGTCTTGAAAAACATTGTGGCCTCGCTGTAACTCGTAAGGCTTGAATTTTAACTTCGCTATAATACCACGCCTAGTGATAGCCAAATCGGCCCGGCCTGGGACTGCCGGAGGACCAGTTATGGGACCGAAAACCGGGACCGGTTGGGGTTTTTGGTAGTTCGTTGGGACCGGGACCGGTTATGGACCGGCCCGTCCCGGCCCAAAAAGTAAGATAATTTTATAAATAAATGTATTTTTAAATAATTTTATAATGTATTTTTTTTACAAACGTAATTTTAGTTATATTAAAATGTATTTTTAAAGTGTATTTGAGTGATCCAATTACAAATTTTATAATGTATTAAAAAAAGATAATTTTTTAATATCAGGACCCCATAACCGGTTATGATTCGCCTTGACCGGTCTTTACCTTTTCGACCGGGACCGGGACCGAGACCGATTATGACTGGTTATGTGGAACCTTGGGACCGATCGGGACCGGCCTGGCCTGACCTGGAACCGGTTTTTGGCTACCACACCTTACGTTATTTAGACCTTTATTTTTTGTTTTATTTTATATAATTAAATGATGTAATACAAGACAAAGGAAATATTTTGTCTTTATTACATCATTTAAAGAACAAAAACTTGTTGATAATCATTTTACTTTCAATTTGTTTTCAAGAGTAAATTACAAATTTGGTGTTTGTGTTATGTCGTTTTTTTTTTTTTGAATTTCGTTCTTAGTTTTCATCTGTTACAGAGTGGGTTCATCGGATTTAAGGTATTTGAACAACCCAACCTAATGTTTGTAGTTTGAAAAATCTCAACCCAATCCAAACCGAACGAGTTGGTCGGATTGATACTTTGATACATCATAATATTCTCCAATGTTCCTTACCTTGAATATGTTGTTTTCTCTACTCATAATTCTTTTTTCATTATCAATCATTTGGTATAGCATCCATACTCCTTCTTAAGTATATCACATTCATCTACTTTTCTCAATTTGCATATATATGTTCACATTTACTAAACATATATACGAAAGAGTTATATGTATAGGAAGAGAGTACGTGATGGTGTAACTGTCTAATGTACATACTAATACGAACTTAAAATAATCATATTAAATCCAATAAATAAAAAAAATATTAGGTTTATTAGGTTGTGTTGGAGTCTGCGCTGTAGGGGGAAGAGAGCGTGTTTTAAACATGGTTCTAAATAACTTGTTATGGCCTTGTTTGGCGTTATGACACAAGGCTTGGGTTTGCCGCCACGCTAACCCTTATTGCTCCACTCGAAGGCTCGGATTGCATTATAACGCATTATGGCACATCACGGTGCGTTATTTTATAAGAAGTAGGGTTACTTTAATGTATAACTTGAGGACTAAATGATAATTATGTATACCTACGACTTAAATAAACATAAAATGGAAACTTAAAAACTAAAACATTAAATACGTACATACTTACTCACATTCCCATACATAAAAAGTCGAACAAGAAATATTTGCAAATAGAAGAACGTAGTGAGTAGAGATTCAAGAGATTTTATCCCGATTTTCCACACTTGATAAAATAGAGGATAAACATCTCATTTTAAAATATAAAAAATCTAAAATATAACTAAGATAATTGAATTCTAACAAAATAATTAATTAGTATCTTTATAAAAAATTATATTATTAAACAAAATATAAATTACTTTGTTATTGAACCTAAATTAAATTATAATAAAAAATTAAATTAAAAAATTACACAAAAAATGAGAAATTTTAAATAGTTAATATGGTACCAATATTAATATATTTTTGTCAAATTTTTATGATATCTTCAAATTTTTATTTTACTAAAAAAAATAAAAACATTATTATTTTTTCAAAATCACATAATACCATATTATAACATCGACTGAGATAAAGAATAAAACGAAATATTAAAATCAAGATGTATCTCGCTGTATTGCACGTAGGCATGGGAATGGGGCGTGGACCTCAATCCCCGTCCCTGGTTACTTATCTTTATCTCCGTCCCTATACTCGCCGGGGAATATAATCACATCCACATCCCCAACTGGGAAACGGAGATTTTTTTTTCCGTTTATATAAGTTATTTTGAATTAAATATGTGAGAGACCATACATGTTTAAATCTCAAATATTTTCAATAAATCTAAAACCAAAATGAATTTAATTTAATACAAAAAAACCACAACATCGTATAAGAATGAATAACCTAAAACCAAAAAAATCAATTTAATCCAAAAAAACTTAAAACCACATGTATCAAAAGATATTAAGTAATATAAAACCATATCGAATAATATACAAAACTTATCGAGTAATTGTATTTTGACTTGACATCTAAAATATTACATATTAACATCCAAAAAGTAATAATTTTAGATTACAAATCTAGTTAGAAAATAAGAAATTATGAATTACCATTTTAGTTGAAATAAATAATATGTATATATATAACGGGTACGGAGCAGGGAGTACCACACTCGTCCCTATCATCATCCCCGGTTTGAAACAAATGGGGATCCTTGTCTCCATCGCCATCACCGATTTAGCACGGAATCCCTTTCCTCAACCGGAACAGGTGGATCAAGTTCCCGAACGAATTAGGGCTTATTCTCATACATAATTACACGAGTAAGCTTCTAGTTTTTAAGAAAAACATGTATGAAAAAGCTTTAAAATCAAAAGCCTTAAAAGATGCCGACGCGCATCTTTTCCGAAAAGGAAAAGATGGAAATGAAAAAGAAAATCCAAAAACTATGAGCCTCAAAAACAAGATCTTATGAAAATGGGGTCCCATCATATAAACAACAATTCAAGATTACATGATTTTTATGCAGAAACAAGTGTATATCCATACACATTCATATAACCAAACCCTTCTGAATATCTGAGGCTCATCCTTTCTTGTTTGATCAAACTAAAAACAGTGTTGCATGGCTACACAAATCAGTCCCTGTTCTTCATCTTCCACCACCTTCCCACCTTCTTCACTTAATCAAGACACCTTTTCTTCTGCAAAATTCTTCAATTTCTCAACAAAATCATCTTCCTCCAGATGGGTTTTCAAGATTCACTCCAGAATCAATCCCAAAAACCAGTTTGAACTCAAATCCTCAAATGGGTATCCTCTTAACGCGATTTCGTTGCAGGATGGTAAGTTAATCCCCAATTGTCATCACCAATTTGTTCTTCAATTTTACTGTTTGATTCTAACCTTAGGATCTTGATTTCTTTTGCCCATTCTTGTTCGTGCCTATTCTCGATTCTGTTCTGACTTTTGGATGTCAAATTGCATAATCCAAGAAATTTGATGATACAGCATCGATTATCGAACATTCGTGCAATCTGATACATACCCTATTTGACTTGAATCAAACTTGTTAGAACTGTTTTTGGCAATCTTGTGTATGCGTCACAATGATAAATGCACCTAAACTATGTAAACACTTTGAAATTTCTGGTGATCAATCTGAGATCTTGTGACTCATTACAGTCGGTTCAAACAGTAATATGAATCAATCGTCTATCAAACCGCTCAGACGCCTGTTCTTGATTTCCTGTTATCATTGTCTGCTGGCTTTTCGAGTAGGTGCAGCAGAGATGCCACTGGCAAAAGAGCTTGTGTCACGAGAACAAGCCGAATCCAATCTTAGTGTAACCATTGTGGGTGCTTCAGGTGATCTTGCCAAGAAGAAGATCTTTCCGGCACTTTTTGCGCTCTTTTACGAAGATTGTTTACCTCAGGTTCATCTCTTGATGTTTGATTTTTGAGATGCATTGTTGGGATTGATATGGATTCTAATATAGTATGAAATATGGTTTCTGTTTCTGAAGAATTTTACCATATTTGGGTATGCCCGAACCAAAATGACCGATGAGGAGCTGAGGGAGATGATTAGTAGAACGTTAACGTGCAGAATCGATAAGAGGTAATGCCGTATCTACAAGTAGTTTCGTGTACTGTTTGACGTCTATAAATCAAATATCTGAAGCATTTTTCAAGAACAGAAACATTGGTATTAGATATGTGAAGTCCCAAAAAGGACATATCGATGAATATGATTTGAACGATTCTGCAGAGAGAACTGCGGTGACAAAATGGAAGAGTTTCTTGGAAGATGTTTTTACCATTCGGGTCAATACAACTCTGAGGAACATTTTGCAGAATTGGACAGTAAGCTGAAACAGAAAGAGGTTCGCTCCCTTTGTTGGTTCTGATAAATCTTGATCTGATTTCTTGTGTAATATGGCGTGAACCATCGTAATAAATCTTGATAAAATCTTCTTGGAGAGCTCTTTTAGAGAGTAATCTGATGGGGTTTCACATATTCTCACATGGTATATGAGCCAGGGTATACCACTCTAGGGCAATCTGTACCCGTCTAGCCTCCGTTGGAGTGGGCATGTTAAGAGTGGCCAATTCGGCTAGACTTGGCCCATTTCTCTGTATATATGTTGGAACCCCTATCCTCAAGGGCTTTTTTGGAAAGTAATTTGATGGGGTTCCACATATTCTCCCAGTTATGTTTTACATCACCACAAATAGCTTCTATTAGCAAAAAAGTTTCAATCTTTCCGCTTAACATCTATTTTCCGTTGGAAAAGCCTTTAGTTTAGATTCTTTAACTAACTTCAAAAGGGAATTTGTTTATATTAATGGCACTTTCTTGCAAACTTCTTTTAGGGTGGAAAAGTGTCGAATAGATTGTTTTACTTGTCGATACCTCCAGACATTTTTGTGGATGTGGTACGGTGTGCCAGCGGCAAAGCTTCTTCCAAGAACGGGTGGACAAGGGTAATTGTGGAAAAACCATTTGGTCGCGATGCAGAATCATCTGGAGAGCTAACAAGAAGCCTGAAACAGTACTTAGCTGAGGATCAAATCTTTAGGTATGTCCTGTGATTCTTGAAGTTGGAAAGATTGATACTTTTACCAAAATGGTCATTGGCCCAGGAGTACACGGGTTACTGGTAGATCCCGACCGCCCTGAAGGATTTGCAGGATTGATACTTTTTTGAGTTTTTATTGGTTTGCAGGATTGATCATTACTTGGGGAAGGAGCTCGTGGAGAATTTATCAGTTCTTCGTTTCTCAAATCTTGTTTTCGAACCACTGTGGTCAAGAAACTACATTCGTAATGTGCAATTCATATTTTCTGAAGATTTTGGTACAGAAGGGCGAGGCGGGTGAGTTTAGCGAGCCCAACGGGTTCTTTTGCTTACATTTCTTTATGCTTTAATGGTTGAATCAAGTTATGTGGTTTTTTGTTCGTAGATACTTTGACAACTATGGAATCATCCGTGATATAATGCAAAACCACCTCCTGCAAATATTAGCGTTGTTCGCGATGGAAACACCTGTGACTTTGGATGCCGAGGACATCAGAAATGAAAAGGTATCCTTAAATTGATGAAAAGATGGTTTTCTTTAGGCTGTGTTTGGCAAACTAGTTGATAAGCTAACTGTTGGCTGATAAAATAGTTGTGTGGTAAAAAGTAGCGGATGTTGGAAATTTAATTGAAAAAATATGAGGGGTATAAGTGGAAAAAGTTGAAAAAGCTCCTCGAGTTTATTCGAATGCTACTTCAAAAAGCTACTTTATGGCTAACTAAACGTTTTTTTAAATAAGCTAGCTTATGGTTGCCAAATACGGCCTTGATGTTTAACGACAATGCCAATTTGTTGTTGATGCAAATAGGTTAAAGTTTTGAGATCGATGAGACAACTGCGGCTTGAAGACGTAGTGATTGGGCAATACAAGGGGCATAGCAAGGGTGGAAAGACGCATTTAGGATACACAGAGGACCCGACTGTGCCAAACGATAGCCTCACTCCAACGTTTGCAGCAGCGGCGCTCTTTATTGATAATGCCCGGTGGGATGGCGTTCCGTTTCTTATGAAAGCCGGCAAGGCCCTCAATACTAGACGGTACATCTTCTTTTTACGCTACGTTTATTAGCTTTCAAGTTTCAAACCGAGTAAGTGAATGAAATATGATTTGCAAAATCTCAAGTCACTACAACAAAATCGCATTTATTGGATGTCAAATATGTCTAAGGGGTTGTTTGGTTGGTTTTTCATTAAGTCCAGTATGAATAAAGCTGTCTGTGTAAATTAATCTATCTGTATAGATTGAGAAAGTTCTTGTTTGGAGGGGCATGTTTGGAAAAAAATTGTTTTCTACATAAAGTTCCCCTCTAAAAGCTTACTGAATAAGCCACTATCAAACAGTCATGTATAGCTGACCGAATAAGCTATGAGTCTATTAAATAATAGATTGTTTTATAGAACTTAAGTTTATTGGAGCAAACAATTATGCATCATTTGTAAAGTGTTACAATGTTAAAAGACGTATTTAGGCATCCTAACAATTTATTTAAAACGTTTTTGAAATAAAATGAGTCGAACCCAATTTTTCATACGTTTACAGACCATCGAAAGAATCTGCTTCTAACCCATAGGAAACAAATCTTCAACTACTATACAACATATTTGAATTGGGATTGCAGGGCAGAGATCAGAGTTCAATTCAGACATGTTCCTGGTAATCTATACAAGCGAAACTTTGGGACGGATTTGGATAAGGCTACGAACGAGCTCGTACTTCGTGTGCAGCCTGACGAAGCCATTTATCTCAAGATCAATAACAAGATTCCTGGTCTTGGAATGAGGCTCGATCGCAGCGACCTTAATTTGCTCTACAGTACAAGGTAAAAGCTTTGGTTGTTCATATGATCTCGTAAAAGAATTCAAGAGAATTAAAGCATACTTAACGAGAATCTGTATCGATGATGAAGATATTCGAAAGAAATCCCGGATGCATACGAGCGGCTTCTGTTGGATGCAATCGAAGGAGAACGAAGATTGTTCATAAGAAGTGATGAACTCGATGCTGCTTGGTCTATATTCACGCCATTGCTGAAAGAACTTGAAGCCAAGAAGATTGCACCGGAGTTGTATCCGTATGGCAGCAGAGGACCTGTCGGAGCTCATTATCTGGCGGCAAACTACAATGTCCGGTGGGGAGATCTCGCCGGCGACGACTGATCTGCATGTAAATGTGCAATTTTTTGTCAATCTTAAATACTTCGTCATATAGAAATTAAATATCTACGTTTTCATTCTAATTTGTCCTAAAATAAGTGTCTTCAAAAGTAAATAGATTGCGTCATGATTTTACCTTTAATCATATGACGAAGAAATTCGTTACTTCCTCTGTTATTAAAGGTAAAATTGTCATTTCCTTGATTAAAAAGTGGACGTTTTTCATTTTGAACATTTATTTTGGGACCAAAAAAATATATTTTTTATGGGATTATGTCTCGGTGCTCAAAAGACGCGTCGTAGCATAAGACGCGTCTTTGCCGTTACAGTAATGCCGATAGCGTTTGTGTAAGGTGTAGACCTCTTGAGGCGTGCAACGACGTAGGTTTTTGACAAAGCACGGTTTTTTCAACTTTTTTAAAAGAAATGTAATTTTTTTTATAATTTTTTTTTTTGTTTTTATACTTTTAATTTTAAATTTTATACTTTTTAAAGATTTATCTAATCAATCACTTGTTGTTTCATAGATTTTACAGACTCGTGGTTGAAATGAAGTTATAAAACTCTTATAATTTCTGTTTTGAATATTTGATTACGAACTCTTTGGATAATACTAATCTATATGATTGTTTTTATAAATGAATGCAAATTTATTAATGTTATTATTTAATTGAATACTAAATAAAAAATAGGGAAATTGACTTAAATGACTAAATTTCTCATTCAAATTAGTCTTCTAACCATTTCTCATCCGTTTTGACCCAAATGTCACTGGATCCGCAATATACAGGTCTGCAATATTGTGGATCTGGGTAAAAGACAAAAAAAATTGCAAATTCGTCCAGATCCACAATGGCCATGTCCGGAATATTGCTGATATGGCTAAAGGATAAAATTAATCAAGTAATCCAGTCCAGATCCATAATGGCTAGGTCCGTAATATTGCGGTTGCAGACGTGTCAACACCTTAATCAGTCTAAGAATATATTCGATTTCAATGGTAATGTAATGTTACTTGGTAAACGCTTACTAAGATAAAGGTTTGGTAAACTGCCCCTTGGAACTTATTGTAATAACAAAAAAAAAAAGTATTGTTAGTCATTAAATTTCAAGGACTTATAGTGTAAAACGATCAAAGTGAAGGGTTTAGACCCTAAAATTGAATGCAATTTAATGACAGGAAACTCAATGGTCATGAAACCTACGACCATTTATTATGACTTATCGTTTTATATTCCGTGAAACCGCCGATGGGGCTTAGTATAAAATGGGAGTTTGTAGCTTTATGTGTAGTTTGGGGTCAAGAAGGATAACTATTGTGAGAAAATGCGACGGTAAACGCTGTAATGAGTGTTGACGGTGCTCTATATCGTAGCTAGTTTGGCACCAATTGGGGAGACGCTAGCCACTTCAAAGTTCGGTTTGGGCTACGCCATGTATTGTGAGTTACACGTGATTTATTTTTAAAATGGTTGCATGCCTTATTATCCAAAAGTTGTTTGAAGTTTCTCGAGATTTTTGATATGCTATATATGCATGAAAAGTTCGATATTTTTATAATATGTGTTTTGAGTATTTGTGTATCAATGGGGATGTACTACAATATGAATTTGTAAAGACGAGCATGCTTTGTGAGCTTGTCTAAGCCGTAAGTGCGTACATGTTGTGTGAGTTCGCCAGGTAATGTTGTGTGAGGTAGACATCTCTCATGACGCTGTTGCTTTGTGATGTAGACACGCGCTAAAATATCTTTATTTTGTGAAAATCATTATTCTCATCAAGGCATGCTAAATTTATGAAGCTTCGTGAAAATTGTTTTTTATAAAAGTTGTTGTTCATGCATGAAAACCGTGGATTCACTGGGTCTAAGGCTCACCCAAAACTTTTTTAAAACTTTTTCACCCAGGCGGCTATTAGACTGGAAAGAAAAGTTGGATAAAGAGAGAAATAAGTATTAGCATCAAAAAAGGACATGTGCAGATCAAAAAATTGTTATATCGAACAAAGTATGTTCGTCAAGATTGTAAGTTTAGATGGTGATATAAATTGTAAGATTAGAAATTTTATTTCCGCTGCAATGTAAGTATTTGATGTTGAAATACTAATTTTGATATATTTAAGTATTCGAAATTTTAGGACGTTATACTTATTATATGGCTGGTCCATGGTCCATATCCAGCTAAAGACCCAGATTCAGGGTCCAACCTAAATTTACCATACTAATTTGTAATTGTAATTCTTTTTTTAATGTTTCAAATTAAATGTCACCCAAAATACAAGGAGTTGGTTCACCAAACTTACAACCATAATTAAGATTTTATTTTTAACTGTTTACCGTTTTTTATCTAAATATTTAGGGGCCGTTTACCAAATGCTTATCCGAGTAAGCATTTACCACGTCATATTATCTTTACCAAATCAATATGGCAAGGACCAAAAAACTTACCCGGTAAGAGCGAAGGCAAAGAGTGAGAGTCTTACCCGGTAAGTGACGGCGACGACTCTTACCACGGTTAGCACTTACCAGGTTAGTTGTTGCATACGATACTGTTTTTGTGAACTAAAATATTACCCGGTAAGTAACTGATAGTTTTGAATTTTTCCGGTAAGCACTTACCCGGGTAAGTGTTGGTAAACAGCCCCTTAATTACTATCTTTTAACATCAAAAAAATACACGGGGTTTCAGGTAAATAATTAAAATCTACATTTTTACATTTTAACCATAAAGTTACCGTAAAAGCGTATTTGCTACGTAAAGTAGATTATTACATGGCTAAATGAAAACTTGTTTTTTACAGTCATGTTTGATGAGTCATTAGACTTAGACCGTGTGAGATGAGGGTGAGGGTGATGGCCATGCCGAAGCTCTCTTCCTTGTCCTTCCTTTTTGCCTTTCAAAAAAAAGACCGTGTGAGATGAAAATTCATTTTGTATGTTTCATTAAAATAGGTGGAATAAAAATTAGGAAGATAAAATACAATAAATAATAAATATTAAACAACTCATCTCAAAATAAAACCCTAAAATCTTAATTTTTTCATTCATCTACCAAACACGTGGAATGAGCCATAAATTTATTAGCAGATATATATATATATATATATATATACTTGGGATCATATGAGACCAAAAGTTTTTTGTGAGACCCGTAAGATCAATTTTCAACTCTTGGATTAAATCTACAATATGAACATTCATAATCACAGAATTGTCATGAGACTTCTCAATAATCATAAAATTGTCACCGTACAACTTTAGACCATTAGATCATTAACTTATAAAGTTGATAAATAAAAATAAATTGGTCTTACGGGTCTCATAAAAAAATTTTGGTCTCATATAAACCCAACCTTATATATATATATATATATATAAATAAATGGAATAAAAAAGAAGAATTAAGAAAATGATGGTGCAGGGTCCAGCTTGCAACATTAAATGGGGGGTTGGGGGGCAGTACAGGAGCACAAGAGAAGAGGGGTAACAGTATGAGAAGTTGTACTTGTGGGTGGATTCAGCTATATATCTATATCTATATCTACATTTCTTTATATATATATATATATATTTATAGATACACCCAAAATCTATATATGTACATATCCCATACACAGAAACCATCATCAATATTCATTCTTGTCTTTTTTTTCAATTCCCCAGTATGAAAAGACTAGAGAGAACACAACCACAGCCTACCCCCTCATTAATCTCTCTCTCTCTCTCTCTCTCTCTCTCTCTCTCTCTCTCTCTCTCTCTTTATTTTATATATATATATATATATATATATCTCAACTCCTTGTAATTTTTCATGGGTTATTCTATCCCCACAATCTCTTTTTGTTCCTCTACTCTTATTCATTCATACATGTTTCAACACATAAAAACAAAATATATTAAGTGTCATTTATTTTAATTAAAAATAAAAAATTCTATCGATGATTTTCTAAATAAATTTTTTTTTAAAAGATTACTGACTAAATTCATTTTAATTAAAAATTAAATATATTTTGTATATGATTTTTCAAATTAAAATAAATAAAAAAGATTATCGATTAAACAGGTTTTTGAAAGTCCAAAAAGTTCTTTAACAGGGTTTAGAAAGTCCAAGGAATTATTTAACATGTTTTGGAATGTCCAAGCACTTATTTGTTCTAAAAATTTATCCAAAGACATAATTATTTCAAACATTAAAGTCCATTGAGTTTTTTTTTTAGATTTTTCCCTATTTTATTTTTCAGTTTTAATCCTTCGATATTTTTAGTTTTAACTCTTCAACTTTTTAAATATTTTTCTTTTATATCTTTTACGTTTTTATTTTTTAATCTATACTATAATTATATAAATTAATTAAGTATATATCACTAATTAATTAATTAAGTAATTGGTTGTTTAGATCCCAACAATTCAGCCGCCGCGTCATACTGTGTAAACTTTATCTTATTAATGCAAACAACTTC